GGGGGAATGTATCAAAACTGGAGCAGAAGAATCTGGAGCAGTTGCCCATTTCAACCAATCAGCTTCTCTCTTCAGTTTGTTCAGTTAAGGTTTGAAAATGAAAGGTGGATGCTGATTGGTTGCCATGGGCAACTGCTCCAGATTCTGTCTGCTCCAGTATTGATAAATTCCCCTCAATGTGTGTAAGACTATTTGTGTGTTTTATTTTAAATAAAAGATGTTTTTTTTATCCGAAAATAATCGGCCAACTAATCGATTATGAAAATAATCGTTTGTTGCAGCCCTAGTAAACAAGCCCTTAATGTGCTATAAGTTGCAATGTCTGATTTAATATTAAAGGAAACGTATACTAAAGGAAATACATAAGCCACAATTATGGACCCCTTTCTAAAAGGTGTCCATACACTGTAATATTTTCTGCGTTCAACCTGCGGGCTGAACAAAGAAAATATAACAGATTCCTCCATCAATGCTTCTGAGCATCGATGGAGGAATCTCCCTCTGCATTCATTGTATTCTGACGGCGGCCACTGTCAGAATACCCAAACAGAGCCAGCAGCTTATTGGCTGCCAGCTCTGTTCGTTTGAAGATTTCCTGGACGGCTCCTTTGATCAGCTGATCAAGGGATGCCAGCCGAAAGGGTGCCGACAACGGCACCGACTGCGGATTTTGGAGGGTTCATCAAGAACCGGCTGAAATTTGTATCATGTATGGCCACCTTAAGAAATCTAAAAATCTTGCTGCAGATCTGATCTATTTTTGCCCTATATACAGACCTACAGCAAGAGTCACATTATGAGAAAAGCAGGGCTTGAACCATCTTAGAGGATGAGCTTAGGGTGCAGGGAATTAAAGGTGTGAAGACAACAATTTATAGCTAAAAAAAAGACACATATTTGCATGACTGCTATAGGAAAATTCATGCAAATAGATTTGTTTTTCTGACGTACCCACTGCAGGTGCAGTTTAGAGTAAGCAGCGTGATATGCTTTCTATTTTAAATAAGGCCCCCCAAGACCCTACTGTCACAACCGAATCTGGAGCCATTACGACAGGCAAATCTCCAACACTTCTGTATACTGCTAGAGCTTATTCTTCAAGCTGTGTTAAGGTTTGGTGATTTTTTTTTAATATAAAGTGTGGGGAGCAGGGGGTTCTCAAAAGCTGAATTCTGGTTTATAATTGGGCACTCATTTATAGGTACAAATGACTACTGGGTGATTTGTAGTTAAAGGAGAACTATGAGGTGAGTGAAAATCACTCAACCTCATAGTTTGAGTCGACGTGTGACACTGAAACTGTCACAGGTTGGCTCAATAGATCGGGAAGTGAGCGAACACATACCGTTGCTCGCTCACTTCTCGATCATCTCCCTGCAGAGAGCAGTGACTGTCAGTCATGGCTCCCTGCAGGGATTCCCCCCCCCCCTCCGATCCTCCAGCGCTGACTGGAGGAACGGAAAGGGGAGCGGGCGGGTACAGTTGTCTCTGCTTCTAGATAGGCAGAGCCAGCTGTAATGTTTGGATCTGTCCCGGCTGCCTCAGTATACCGCAAGCTGTAGCTCGCGATATACTGAGCTTTGGGTCACGGGAAGAAGCTAGTTTATGTCCTCCCGTGACCCTTAAGAGAACTATAGGGAAAGACACTGACCCCCATAGTTCTTTTTTAGCCCTGGTTCACACCTTGCGCATTGCATATGCGCGGTTGTCGTGCGGTTTTTTAACCGCGATTCACGGTAAACAAATTGCATGACAAACGCGCGTTTCCGAGAGCTACTTGGCTGTATCCCAATGGAAACACGCAACAAAAACGGCCCAAAGTAGTACATGTACCTTTTCAGGCGTGGGCCGTTTTGCAGCGCGTTAGGGACAGGCTGAAATACGGCAAGATGTGAACCAGACCCATTGAATACAATGGGATTTAGATGTTTGAGCGTTTTGTAGAGCGTTCGTCGAGCGTAGAACGCGCTACAAAACGTTCAGGTGTGAACGAGGGCTTAAAGAACACCTTGTAAATAAACAGACTATACTGATCGGCAGGCTGTGTTTTCAAACACTTGCACTTTGCGTCTCCCCTGGCTGCAGCAGGTATTCCACACTTCTGGGTATGAAGAATACTCTGCCACACACTGTGATTCCTCCGGCCAGCTAATACACCACTACATGACATACAAGGTGACGGGGAAAAACCACAGCGTGCGGCAGAGCCTACAAGTTTTCGACCCACCAAATATATCTGTTATGGCTGGGAAGAAGCAAAGTGGTGACATTTCAACAAAGGGGCTGACAGAAAGGCAGGTATAGAGCTTGTTCTGTTACTTCATCTGATTACACGGTCACTTTAAACGCTAACGCCCAGTGTTCGCCTTAGAGCCCCCACCAAAGCTACTACAACTCAAAGCCTGACTGAACCTTCAGTTTAAAGTGCATGTTAAAAAGTTTGGGACTACTTCTCTTAGGCCTTGTTCACATGGGTGAGTTTACCTTGGTGGATTGCTTTTCAGGGACAGCTTGCAGGCATTCAGGAAGTGATACTGGTGGCAACAGAAGGTTATACTCCTGAATCCCTTTTTTTTTCCATCCCGAGGGGAATTTTACACTGAAATACCATGCCCCAAGCACACAGTTACAGTGTGGTCCTAGTGACTTTAATGAGCACATTTGGTAGGAGGTGCTACCTGCCAAACGTGACATGCCGGGTTTAAATTGCAACAGGGCAAAAGCATGCTGCAATGAGCTGCCTGCTCTGGTCGGGTATTCTGACAGGTGCCAGCAGCCGCTGAGCGTAAACAGTGGGGTTCCTCGATCGACGCGCTGTTTGTGTTGGAGGAATTGGGTCTATTTTTTCGTTCAGCCCGCGGGTTGAATGAACAAAAATAGAGCAGTGTCTGGCCAGCCTTAAGGTGCCCATACACCTCGCGAATATCGGCCATATTTTGTATGCGATCGCGTTTTCGTCCGATATTCGTACAATTGATGGCCAGAGTACAACTGCAAATACTGTACAATCGATCGACTTGACTAAGCAGCGGGTTAGAAAACTTTGATTGAGTGTACGATTTTCGTAAGGTTGGTGGCGTTTCTGTACGTCAAAATTTATATGATTTACACTGCACATGTGCAGACGAAAATACGTGCAGTCGATTACTGCAATTCGTCCGGGAGCTTTCTTCTAATTACGGCTGATCCGACCTTGCGATAATCGGGGCAGGATGGGGCCGCCGTACGCAAATCGTACAACGGTTCGATCATCGGACAAAAAGGGTCGTCCGATGATTGCAAGGTGTATGGGCAGCCTTAGTCCCTCTAATCTCAGAGCAAGATCTGCATTCTCTGCGAGATCTTATACCTGGAGATCCTGCCAGTGCTCTTAGCAATAACCCCTTCCTATTACTAACCACGCTAAGCATAGAAGCAGATCTGTCCTAGCGTGGTCAGTTTGCATCGCTTCTTCTGATTTGGGGGCTCTAGAATGCTGTGCTCATGCATGCTGTGCCTGTAGGCCCGAAGTCAGATTACAACTGCCACAATCCCTCCAGTTTGAGGGACAGCCGATCCTGCAAATTCACACACCTACAGCCTGAGAACACATATGTCCCATTTGGACCTGTGACATCCTCTACAACCTCAGTCTGATTTTTTGGGAGATGAGGTGGGAACTGATCGGTCACATGACCGCCACTAAAAGCCCCCCAAAAACTATTTTCTTGTTCCTTTTGTTACAAATTGGGCTAAATGTATATAAATAGTGCCTAGTATCGTTTTTTTAAATATAATTTGCACACTTTAAAATGCGCGAAATACATTCCAGATGCACCAAAACAGAGTCTGTCTCCTGCCAGCAAACTACAGAGTGGGGCCCTTGCTATCTGTGGGAAACAGGGGTCAGACACACCACCTGCTGAGTCACAGCTCTCCAACTGATGGGGAACATGAGCTTTGCTGATTGGGGAGCTCCAGGTCTGACTCAGCAAGGAGTGGGTCAGACCTCTGCAGAGAGATCACTGCTTTCTCACAGGTCCTTCTCTACAGCTGCTGGCAGGGCAGAGGCTTTTCTTCTCAGGCTGTGGCTGCTTTGAAAAGGAAAGTCTTTGCACATCTTTGGTTTTGATGCCCCTGGAATGTATTACGCAGATTGAAACTGAGGGTTCGATCGGGCCTTAACGTTGGTTGTACGCATATATGTGGCAGCAAAGAAAGCTTGACCGGCAAGACACCACACGTATACAGCAAACGTCCCATTTTTGCGCCAGGAGCATGCTCATTCTGTGCCACCAGGCAAAGTAACCTTGCTGCCATCAACACCTCCCAGTCTGTTTGGGAACCTGCTGCCAATCATGTGATCACTGTGGCATCTGATCACATGATCAGGTAGCCCATCTACCTTTAAACCCTTAAAGGGCAGATTCTCACCAGCTGAACGGGACTACGCACGCCCCTCCCCCACACAGCAGGGCTGGCTGCCATGGCACGCCTATCACTAGGTGGGAGTGCTGCCATGTGGAGGGTAAACCAAGGCCTATACGAACCACAAAAGTGAATATGTGCACATTACGTTTATGTGACCCCAGCACTACACGAGAGCATTCATAACACAGCCTTATCTTATGGTGTATACTGCACAATACCGGTTTTACTTTCCTCTCCATAGCTTAGGCTGTACTTATCATTCTACCGTATTGCAGCATACGTTACCCACTGAATACACACCACGGCGACCTCATATCACCCAGGTTAGTCCCACGGCGACCTCATATCACCCAGGTTAGTCCCACGGCGACCTCATATCACCCATATCACCCGCCTTTCTGCCAATCTCCTAAGGGGACCCCTTCATAGCCCCCCCACCTCCCCCAACCCCTATGACTCGCAGCGCTCTCCCAGGTTTCCATTAATTTGTCCCTATGCTTCAGGAGAAAAGCGCGCCCTACAACAAACAGGCTAAATCGTCCCGGTCGCCTCTCCAGCGATACCGAGCCCCGCTTCCTGTTTACACTCACCGACTCCACCGCTCTTTCCCGAGAATGAAATGGCGACTGGGACGCTCCGGATGTGACTCTGAACAAGATGGCGGCTCGGGGGAGGTGTGTTGTCATGGAAACAGGACAGCCTGTGGGGGTCAGGGAGCTCCGTGTGGAGCTGGCGGGAAGGGAGAGCTTAGGAAGTTTCTTGGAAGGCAAACATGGCTCACACAGGAGGGTCAGAACATTGTACACACAGCTCAATAACCTCTATTCATTGTGTCATATAAAACGGTGTCCTTCCAGTCATGACACCCCTATAAAAGTATAAAAAATCTAGAGGTATTCCAGACTAAAATGGAAAAGACGAAATGCACCAGTCACTGTGCCACATTAACCTCCTGAATTCCTGTCACACCCATTACTGTGCCAGCAGAAGCCCCCATAACCTGCACCCCCAAATTTCCAGCTATTCATTG